TATATATATAATAAATAATATTTTATTTGTTTCTTTACTATTTTGATATAATTCCTCCTCTAAGTGGGTGGCTCTGTCAGCTAAAGGCATGTTTCAGAGTCTTTATGCTCCAGTTAATAATCGATTGATTACTAAATTAGTTTATGGTTATTTCAATAATTGATTAATCCGATTGTTTCAGCCCTAATTTGAATTTTGAACATTCCTAACAGGATGTTAAATAAGAAAGATCTGAGATGGCTGTAGATCCAGTGAGTCACACAGTTTTGTTAAACCTAAATCAGCTGCGGCTGTTGAATGCATTTAAAGGGCTGTTGTAATATCTCCCGTCCTCCTCCTTTTCTAAATTGCATAACCTAAACCATGTTGGGGGTAAGTGTAAGACTTTGCATGCTGCCAGAATTTTAATGCACATTCAGCCTCATTTCTCCTCCACTTCATACCACAGCTTATGCTTCAGTTTGCTTTTGGTTTCCGTTTTTTCCAAACTGATTACACCATTTGTGTGCATTACACTTCCAGTGAGAGCAGCTAGCCAGTGCACCGAAGTGAAGATGGTTTGTGTTTCTCAGTCCTTTCTGGAGTCTGTTTCACTCTGCTACTAACCTCTAGTAGAGGGCTGATACTAACGCAGCTGCTTCTTATGAATCAGACTCATGCTTTTCTGTGCATGGAAATAGTATGGGATTAATAATCTAAATGTGTCTGTGGAATTCTTCCTTCCTGCTCATCCATTTACATGTTTTATTAACTGTTAGACTCATTTAAGGAGGTTTGCTTTACTTCAGCATGTGAGGCTGCATCCTCGCTCCAGTCACAGTCAGCATAGATTTAGCAGCGAGGGAATTTCTATTTGTCTTTTTTCATAAGCATGTTAACCATTCTGATGTTTATTTATAATGTTTTTTTCTGCTTATTCTCCCTATGTCCATATTTCTCCATGTTGCCATAGATGACGACCTAGCCGGACCAGTGTAAGTACAACTATTTAGGCCGTGCTACCTTATCTGTGTTAAGCTTTGTGAAGTGGCGTGTGTTTGGTTGTAGATTATCCTGATGGATCTCACTGTAAACTGCGTCTCCAGATCTGGGTCAGAGAACATACGCTTCCGCCATTACTGCTTCAGATGGGAAATAAATCTCTGGATTGTAGATTTTAGTGTAGAGCATCAATACTTTCCATGGTACATTGTCAACATAGTGATAAATATGGTTTTAAAAGAATATTAAGTGTGACGATTTAGTACATTTCCTAAGGAAAATGTCCAAAAAAACTGTAATTCCTTTTTCTTAGAACATCTAAGCAACACAAAATTGCCCTATTAGAGTGATTTCTTTAAGTTCAGTACCAATAATGGTATTTTGGCAGAAAAAAAAAAATATATCGATAAGTATGTAAGTAAAACAACAGAAGATCGGTTCAGCTTTATTTTTAAATATCCATTACTGTAAAAATGTCCATAGCTGTATATTTGTTATTTATTCTCCATGTGCATAGTTTTTTTATATTGTTTAAACACTTAACAGTATTTTATTGTTTATCTTTTAACTCTTTAATATTATGTTATTCTTATATATTTTTCTAAGGTCCATATTTGTGTGACCATGTTTTCTATCATCTTTTTGCTGCTGAAAACACCAGAATTTCCCCATTATGGGACAATAACGGGATTTTCTATTCTATTTTATTCTATTCTATTCTATTTTAGCCACTAGACAAGCAGCGTGCAGAAACAGAAGTAGTCCTAAATACAGCCATAGAAACCTCTGGTGAATCCAGAAGATATATCAGTAACGCTTTCTTTTACAGTACATCATGAACTTTGTAATAACATAAGCAATAATATAGTAATATAGCAAGTTATGCTGTATTACTAGGTAACAAGAAAAACTTTAGGGAGAATTTTGTTCTCTTCAAATTTTATGCAGACAAGGTAAAGTCAGACTTCTTTATATTTCAAACCGTTAATACCAGGTAACTCATATTCATTTCGCAGACAGCAATAAATAAATAAGTTATTATCTGGTAAAATGCAATTTATTACTTTATTATTCGTTTTGTATCGATGCATCGATACGTCCGCAAGATAATCGATTCATGTTGTTTTTTTCCCTCCGGTCTATTTTTATCCATTTGCTCCTGGGCGTAATTCTCCCTCCCGTGCTGCGGTGGCGCTAAACCTATTTTAACCTCCTACCTCGCTTCCTGGTTATACTCTTACAGCAGTGTGTTGCAGTGAGCTTGATGCAGACATTTTTAAATTATGCTCAATATTGAAGCGTGGTCTGTGCTACACGCTGTGGGTCTAAATACGGCCGAGGCGGCGAGGAAGTGGGGGCGAGTTTAGTCCGACGACGGAGGGACATGAGGGCCAAAATTGAATTAATTGAATCGAATCGAATCGTGGTGTATTCTTGAGTATCGAAAATAATTGAATCGTTGGGTCAGGAAATCGATACGGAATCGAATCGCCATGATGGATGTGATTTACACCCCTACTTGGCATATAACAGAAAACCAAACCTAGAAGACAGCAAGCCAATCTTCTTAACTAAACTCTTATTTATATGTTACTTGAGTTTAGTTTTTAAAATGCTTTAGTTACCTGATCATAAGTTACAGTTTAATCTGTAACTAGTTGGTGGGTGACGGCCAATAATAGAAACTGGTAACCTGATGGTAATTACAACGTTATACAGTGACATACAATTATTATAATAAAATGCAGGTTATTATTTTGAAATTATACACATTACTCTTGGGGTAATTAGCCAAAAAAGTAGTTATTGTTACCAAGTACTATAGTGCTACTTGCTTTATTATTACCATGTTATTACATGATTACTGATGTACTGTAAAAAAAAAAAAGCGTTACTGATATATCCAGAAATGTTTGTCCTTTCAGCCAGCTGACAAGCTGTTTGCAGCAATATGTGGGTGAGAGGCCACAATGCTTTAGGTTACTTTGATGGTGACTGGATGAATTGTTCTTTTTTAATTGAACAGTGAAGTCAGCTGAGCTGCAGTGTGCAGCAGTGTGCGTCTGTACAGCCCAAAAACACTTTTGTGATTTCTTTTGCATCCTGTTACAATTAGCTTAAGAAGTACAAACAATATGATGCAACGTTTTTCCAGTGTGTCTCACTAATCATCATTTTCTTTTTAAAAAAAATCTTGCCCAACAAGCTGTAATGAGAAAATATTTTTCACATATAACCAAAAACATAGTATGTAACACATTAAGAAATGTGTAACTGGCTCCAGATTGATTGGAGCTCAGTCTTGTGCTTGGAGGTATTTCCATTATTTGAAAGGAAGTTCCAACAAAATGTAAAATAAAACTTTTTGTTTTAGCTCCTTAGCAAATAAAATAAAATAAATGCAAAGCAACCAACTACAGCTGTAATATATCAGTAGATAAATAAGATGGTTTTGCAATAGGAGTATTTTTACTCTTGAAATAAAATAATTGGATAATATACACTTTAAAAAAAGACAATCCAATTGTTTTTCTTATTCTAAATGTAATTTTTCTTGTTCAATTGGAAAAGTGTCTCACTTACCTCCTCAATGCAAGAAAAAATACATTTATTTAAAAACAAAAGACTTATTTGGATGGACGTTTTTTGCAGCGTGTAAATAAAGGTTCTGATCAGGGCCAGAGACAGAGGGCAGCCATATCAGAGTCCAACATGCTCCGGGAACAGATCCCCACTGAATTTAATCCCCTGTTAGAGGATTAAATTACGGCATCTGAGCTTCCGTTCAGTCTCTCTATTTGCATCTTCTCAGAAGGGATTTTTTTCATGCCTAAAAGAAAAATGTGTCTGTAGAGTTGCACCTAAAAAGAAATGTGTGGAAAAGAAAAGTGATAATAGTGTTATTAAATAAAACTAATAAGGTAACGATTCTATTTATT